TCGCAGCTCTAACTTTTCAAAACGAAAAATAGCGGCTGAACATCAAGGTTTTCGCGGATTTCTGTACAGAATTGGGAACGTTGGTAATACTTTCTGACGTGTCTGCCTCCTCGAACCAAAAAAAGTAGCGGTTATAGAAATGAAGACGAACATAATTTTTGTATTATAGAATAGTAGAAAACATTCAATGATTAAATATGTTATTTAGTTTCGAAGCGCCAAATGATGGAATTAAAACCGTCCTTCATTTAAGAACGACATAAATTTAGAAAAGACGATCCCCCTTAAGGATAACTTGTGCAATCTCTGAGTGATTGAGCCCATCTATCGGGGGAGTGCAGTCAGGTGATTATGTTGAAAACACATTAAGCAGTATGAGTGTAGGTTGTGAAGAATCAAATTGCATCATTTCTTCACAGGAAATCGAATCGCATACAGTGTCCTTGATGATGCACTAAAGTACAGTAATCGCAAGTTTCGATTCATGGCAGTTACATTAACTTGATTTTCATTAAATTTTATTTTCGCACAATTTACATGCAAGGTAAACGAAAAAAATTTGCATCGTTGATCTTAGAAGATAAAAACTGAATATATAGTGACTTCGACGTATCAAAATACGTCCACCTCACCATATTTTGGAAAGCATAGTTCAACGGCTTTACAGCATTGCCTTAGTTTTCTCCTACCGTATAATAAGGCCATGAAATGTTTTAGCTCTTCAATACACAGGAGCATGTAGCATTATTTAATTAACTCGAACAGTAGTATAATCGTCCTCTATGGTATTTCTACAACTGGTACTGGTACTTACCTCTTTGACAATTCTCGTAATGAACAGAACGAAATTCTAACCAATTAGTCGATGCAACAGGCATCTATGAAATTCGAAGTTTAAGATATCACGAAGCGATGACCGGCTCACTCGATTACCAAGGCGTTAAGAAAAGGGAGTAATGCCATAGTTTTGGGAATCCAAGTTTGGTAGATTTAGTTGATTAAAAGCTATAAAAAGGTTTAAGAATTGCAGCGGCATCAAGACAAATATGTGTCAAATGCTTTTCTTGCTGCATAATACACGCGCCAGTTTCGCAACAACCTGTGAATGTCTCTTGTAACAGCAACGTTACCCGCGATCAAAGCCATGAAATACGGCAAGATTTCAGAGTTGATGACGTTCAGCCGGGGCAACAAAAATAGGTATGCAACACTTCGAATGCTTGAGACCGAATGAAACTGGGGTAAAAAATGCTTTTCAAAGTAGGCGTTGGTCTCCATCAGTGACATGAAATATATTTATTTCATAATTTACATGAGGTGAATCAGCTGACAGCCAACGCCGAATAAAGGATATGTTCGAATCCGTTGTCTGCTGTTTCCGAATAATGTGGTCATATTGACGTCTTCTCATTGCGATCTGCAACTTTGATGCTTTCGCTGCCATAGGTGGAGGGGGCGGGGCAGTGGCGCGAATAGTGAGTAAGTTATTTTCCACGTTAGAGTTCCGGGTTCAAGCCCAACGGGCCGCTTGAATGTTTTCTTATTAATTGTCAATTTCCTTTGCACTAGGTAATGAATTCACCCAACTGTGCTTCGATGCACCCAGCCAACAGTAGGTAGCAGGTCGCTGATTTCGAACAGTTTGGCGACTTGGTGTGGTCATGCCAGTGCGTGCGAAACATGCAGCCATGTTTACGATGTACGTGTTTCACAGCTATTATTCGCTTTGACTCGCTTGATAGCTGTATTAGAGTCAGCATGTGGCACAACGGTATATTGACAAATATTAAATGGTACCCCATAGCGGAAACTAATTACGGCAATTAATATTTCGTCTTGTCTCGAGAAAATTTGGCCTTTCAAGATAAATGCTTCTAGACTACTCTACTCTGTATGTAAATGTCACAAATACCGCTGATTTAGTTGTTCTATCCTATTGGATCAGGATCATAAAAATATTCTATTCCTTAAAAAATGTAGTTTAACGTGATGTACAGAAACGCAGTAAGTGCATCAGACCTTTAAGTACGCAACCCAGAATAGGTTGCAGGCAATGCAATTGAGAATTTGGTACGAATCTTCAGGCCAGAATTTATCACTGAAACAAGCAGAAAATATTGAATTCATCGAAAGCACGTAAAAGCGTTATTTTACAAAGAACGAGATTAGGGATTGCCATTTTGCACTTCCAGGTCTATGAAGTGTACTGACGCCGATTTTAGAAGTTTCATCTCGGTGTCATTCAGTTTCGACGCCTCAAATTTTTTAAAACTGCTGACACGAGTCAAATGCTTCACTTTACTTATGAATAGTGCTACTGTCTTCAGTCGAAAGACGTCGTAGTATTTCAAGTAGTCGACCTCATGTGACGTTTTACATTTTGGAGTATTGTTGCGAAAGTTAGTACAAGCCTTCTCACGCGCTTGGATATTTTCGGTCAAATAACATTCATGCCACAAGCACAGCTGTGCATTTGCCCTTGCTGAATCATTTTACGGTATGCTATTTTTGTATTCAAAAGACGTTCCAGTTCCAGCCGCATTATCTGATAGCCGCTTCTCGCTAAACATGAGCAACTAACACACTAAATAAATAGCAGAAAGCTGCTAATGGTTTGCCCAACGAATTCCTTATCCACGAAATACTACAGAGTGACATTTACCCAGTATTATGCAAAGTGCAACTGTAATCTTTGCTATTTATTACTTCGCGATTCATCTTATTAATTGGTGAAATACTCTCACCCGTTTTTATGTAAAATGCGAGCATCTACTCACTATAATTACACAGGTGTAGTCGGCCTATGATTTCAAGCGTAGTTAAATTGATCACAGTAACTAGTAACGTGAATCTCTGAATCGCTAACACGTTAATGGAAATTATGCCCACAGTTCAGGTGAGGAATTATTGGAATAAAATTCTGCGTAAATTCCACTGTGAAGGATCCAGATCTCATAGAACGAGTTCGATACAGATTCCGTCTATTTGCACGTTGCGGCAACAAGAAATAATTTCCATCATCTTTTCAAATCAAAAACGTTTACTGTTTAAAACAGCGGAAATACAAAGTAAAACTGGCACAACAACGAACAAAATACACAATAATAAGACGAGGAATAGAGAATGAAGGATAGAGAGCAAATGCACAAGATCAGTTGCAGACGACCGGAACGATTTCCGAACTTTACCTACATCGTACCTATGAAGAAGGCCCGTGAGAGACACAAGCTGAAACATCTCTGTCGAGAAACCTTGCGATTGACGATCTTATGCGCTGTGTATAAAACAAACTTTTCTATGCTATTTTTTAAGTATGATTACCAATGGACGAACCAAACACTATATTGTAACAGCGGGTTACAAAAAACAGATATCGGTAACTACATTCATCTGCGCCTTCAGAAAAAATAAGAGACCTACGATATATTTACAACAAAAAGCTAAAGTTTATAGCAAATGGGAAATTGAAAGCCCAAGCTTTACGCTAATGAGTTAAAGGGAAGCTGCCCTATATGCTAGCATGCGTTAGAGGTCACTGCAGATTTAAAGTCAGGCTGTGCCTTAATCTAGTGTACCGCTTTTCCTTAGTAGCATATTCTCACCATAAAGTAGAGAGAAATCACAAGTATTGATACAGATAAACGTTTTTAAAGTCAAACTTCGTCAGAGGCTCTCAACGCAAATTAGCAACTTACGCGAACTGCTGATTAAATTTCTCTACCTTCAAAGTTAAGAATCTCTTTCAAATCATAAGCATCACTTAGTTATACAAAACCAAGTTATTACCAATAATTTTCAAATGCCTATTCGTACCAATTTTCTTACATATCTGGTCATACTACATAGGAAGGCATAATCTTTTGCAGCGCTACACGGACAAGCGGTTAAATTGCACATTATATCCAAAACATTTTAATGATTCAAAACAAATCCAGAGTTAGACTTCGGCTATGGCTCACAGTATA